TTAATTATTTTAAAAAATAGTAAAAGTTAAAATTACTTTTTTTATGATAATTTAGTAATTTAAAGTTTCATAGCTATTTTACAACGCCTCCGCTAAACATTGAAAACCAAGTGCTATCTATGAAAATAGTACCTAACATATTTAATTAGGTAAATCTAGGCAACTAACACCGTAAAGAGGCGATTTTCTTTCGAATTTTTTTTAGTAGTAAATTCAGAATTTTTCATTCCAAAAAAATATACGTGGTAATAAGCTCTAAGTATAAGGAAAAGATGCGTATGTAAACTTTCATTTTTGCTCATAATCTAATGTAAAAAAATATTAGGAGAAATATAGACAAAGTTAATGTGGAATAGAGTCTTTGTTTATGAGAAAAACAAATATTTTATAAATCTCATAAGATCCACTTATATAAAATACTCTTATAAGATCCGTATACGGTAAAAATGCGCATGTTATTTTTTTTTGCTAATTCTGTCTGAAACCGCGCTTAAAGAAATTTTTTAGATTATTTTAAATTATTTTATTTTACCAAATAATATTAAAGTTAAGAAATGATTTGTGTGGAATAAATTAGTATAGAAACTGTCGCTTTGGTATAAACCCGTATTTTACTGCTTAGGAAAATTAGGATATACACATAAAGAAAAAGAATAGAAAAGGTCAGTGTGGAATAGACTTACAAAGACCCGTGTTTTTACGGTCAGGTGCACGTTTCAAGCAGGTATTTAGACAGGTATCCAATTGGCGATTTACGCAACGTAACGTTACCGTAACATTTAAAGTTTATTAAGGTTAACTATAATAGAAATTTTTATTTTTCATTGATTTAAGAAGGAAACAACAATGATAATGTATAAATTTACCAAGACCCGTCTTCTACGGGTCATGACAGCTAATATATTTTATTTTTAATTTTAGAAATCTTTTTTGCTAAATTATTATTTTTTTGTTATAAGTATATAAGCATTATTAAAAAAATGTCAAAGTTTATTACGCTGAAGAAAAGTCTTAAACCCCCTAAAATAAAACTAATGACAGCGCACTACTGAGCTATCAAATGAAATGCATTTAGTAGAAAAATACATCTAATTATAAGTTTTTTATAAGCTCTATATATGCGGAAAAGGTGCGCATGTTAAGTTTTTTACTCTTGAATGTTTTTTTCAGAATAAATTGTTTTACTAAAAAATATTGAATTAAATAAGGAATAGATATATAATAATCAGTGCAGATAGAATATGGATAAAATTCAAATACAAAGATATGGATAGAAATGTTAGACTTGGTTAAGGCCCGTATTTTACGGATCCGGAAATCAAGGATGTATAGGGAAAAAGTAAAGAAAAGTTCAGTTTGGAATAGACTTATTCGGTTTTAATAGACCCGTATTTTTACGGGTCCGATCTCAGCTAGTGGAATATATTGAAAAGTATGGTCGGTGAGATTTAATGTGACGTCAAGGTAATTTCCAACTTTCATGCTGCAACTGTATTGACTAGTGTAGACAGGCCTTCTCGTAAGAGAAAGCCTGTCTACACTAGTACACTGTACACTAGTACACTAGTACACTGTCTACACTAGTACACTGTCTACACTTATATGATCACGCATAAAGTTCTTTGTTTTAGCAACTTGACCACGGCTCTTTGCAAGTTTTGATAATTAGCGCGTTTAAAAAATGCGTTAAAAAAACAAAACAACTTAAAATTAAAATAAACAATTCATAAACTGAAAAGATAATAAAATCTTTAAAATAATATATAATACAAAAATTAACCTAAAAAAATTAAATATTCAAAGAATGATAAAATAAATAAAGGAAAAACTAAAAAAAAAAAAATCAAAACATTTATTAATTAATGTAAACTTAATTGTAAGCAAAATAAAAAAATCACAGCTCTAATAATCTTTATCATTCCTTCCAATGAATGATTAGGGTAATACAAAAGCAAATCCATTGTAAGGGAAAGGGTACCCTTCTCTTCTCAGAATTTTTATTTATTTTTTTAGAAATTGATGTTTAAAAACGTATGTAACTTAGGCTGTCTAAAAGTGCCATGAAATTTAATAAAATGTTGTGGTGCAAGTTTAAAATTTTATTAAAAAATTAATAGGATACAGGGTGCGACAAATCGACAAATGTGCCCGCATTTCTTAAAAGACAGATAGAAAACAAACATGACGTTTCTTTAATTTTGCTTATGCAATCGTTGCCGTTTGATTAGGAATTTTCAAAATGAACGTATTACTTCAGCAAATTCTTTCAAATTAATTTTGCGATCATTAGTTTTTTATGTATTATAAAAAACACATATTTAATATGAAAAACAATTAATTTCACAGACTTAAATTTATGCCAAAACATCAGTACTTGTTTCAATTGCGTCACTTTTAAGTAAAATAACTAAATATATATTTAAAAAGCTATAGAAAAAAATAATTATGTTTTAGCATGGTTTTTGCATGCACTCACAAAAGCATACATAACTTAACTTAAAATGAATGCTTTCGCAAAAACATCAAGAGAGACCATGCTCAAACATTTCGATTGCTATCTTTTATTGAGAAAAGCGATCATTACGTTTAACGATGGTTTCTTTTATGTTTTGTGCAATTACCCTAAAAGTTTAAAGCAAATGTATTCATTATAAATAAAATTTACCATGCTTTTTTAAAAATTTTCTTTATTTCCATAAAGTGAATGTTTGTTTGCATATAAAACTTTTGCACTTTTAAAAGTTTTTTTATTGTGCATTTATAATTAATTTGCGCGCACTTTACAAATGTGTAAAAAAAGGTTTTTGAAAAATTAAAATTGAATATATTTACCAAGCTTCTTTGATATATTTAATAACTTATTAACTAGAATAAAAATTATTTGAATTTTATTTGACATAAATCTCTTAAATTAGACGTTCGTCAATAAATAAAGATACACGGGTCAACGTAAATTAAAAAAAAAAATGATATATCACGCTCTAAGGAAAAAAAAAAGTTGGCAGATGCGATTGTTTCAAGATTATTGTAATTCTTTTTTTTAGTAAATAATTTCTTAATTAGAAATTATATTTCCATGATAAAATGGTTTTTAATTATTTTTTGATAGCTTCTGTACTCATTTTGCCTTAAACTCTAATCTGAATATTTTTTTCAATGATTGCCTTTAATTAAGTTCCATTAAAGTACTCAGGAAATTTTGTGGGAGTTTACTTACCGAATCAATTAAATTCAAAATCACATTTGTTGATTTTTTTAGCGCATTTTTTAATCACACTAACTATCAAAACTTGGTCAATTATCAAATTATCAAAACTTGGTCAAGTTGATAAAACAAAGAACTATATGCGTGGTCATACATGGCGTGCGATCGCACGCCTCTTACAAAGGCCTGTGTAGTCGTTTCTTTTGAATATATTGATAAAATGTTTTTTGGTTTTTTCATTTGGGGTCCACTCAAATTTTTAAAAATATTAAATCTATAATAACGGTTTAACCTGAAATCATTTTTATGATAAAATTGTGCAACTTGAAATAGAATTCCCACAAAGTTCGCATACTTCTGCACCGTTAAATGCTCCAATTGAAACATAAAATAATCCGCTTATCATTTAGGTTTAGATTTTGTCAATATATTCAAAAGCATAGATCTCTTAATTTCAATACAGTGCAACAGGAAAGTTGTTTTAAAATTTACCTCACACCAAGAAACGTAAACGCAACACTTCCTTATGAATCGTAAACTCCATAAAACTTTTAATGGAAACATAATAAAAATAAGATACGGCTGTGTACCGAATATAAAATCACACGATTTTAAAAACACACAATTATCACAACAACAACAAAATTTTACCTAAAACCATCTACAACTGTCTTTATAAGAAAACTTGCTTTTTATCAAACCAATGCTTAACAAAAAACATCGTATTCCAAACTAACGAAACTTCAAAATATCCTGCTCCCGCTTGGTTTTATAAATTCTACATTGGTAGCTGTAGATTTTTTAAAATGTTAGTTATAATATTTTGAAATATGTTATTGCCACGTGAAATTCGGTTCCTAAATTTGTGGTATCTGCAGAGCCGTGGCTAGGTTTCCCCACACCCTCAGTCGGGATTAGCAATTTTAGGAGGCCCATTTGGAAATTTAGGGGCTCTTGCAAATTTAAGGAGCTTTTTTTTTTTAGTAATAACTATTGGTAAAATTGTTGGCAGGTTTGCGGGGGGCTTTTGAACTTTTTGGTGTTTGAGATAGTTTCAAGACATGGAGCAAACTCGAAACAAATTTATCTTTATACTTATGCTAAATAATGATGCCTTGCAATAAATTGCGATGATTGGAGGCTGGAAACTAAAATACCCCTAAAATTTCATAAAATTCAAATTTGTTACCCCCTTCAGATTGACGGGGTTACAAATTTTATATGCTCATAATTTTTCAGCACATATATATATATTTTTTTATAAATTTTGTTTAAGTGCCCTAAGAAGTCTTTACGGTCATATTACAAAGCACCACGAGTAAGCCTTTATTTGGAAGTTCACGCATCCTTCCTAACCGATGTCGCAAAACTCCAAGGTTGAGTTTGAACCGTGGATCCTTTGTTTCTGAGGCAAGTGCGCTACCACTAGCCTACGGCTGCTCATTTATTTAGTCGCATTTGATAAGATGTTGCAAGATGTTTGATAAGATCTCACTTTCAGAGAACATTTCAACTGAAAGTTCAATTATTTTATGGCAAAGCTTCTATTTAGCTTCGATATTACCCTTAATCATTCAAGTATAAATTTACCTTCAATATTGTCAACTTTATAGTTTAAATTATTCAAATCTTATTTTTAACCATTTTAATCTGTACAGATGTTAAAAGCAGTGTATTGTAAAACGATATTGCTTTATTTAGAGTTTTTATAGTAAAGATAAAATATTTACATATTTTCACAAAACAAAATATTATTAACTTGTTTAAAATTAATTAAAAATTTAAAAATAATTACTTGTGAATTCGTCTACTTTTCTTATTAGATCCATTCTCTTCATGTTCCTTAAAGCTTTTTTCAACTCCTCAAGTGTTGGATTGTTATTCATTTGCATCCATGAAAGCAACATTGAATAAGCTTTTGCATTAGTTTTATTATTATCTTGATCAATCATGTCTAAATAATTATCTTCAATATTTAATCTACGACCAAGTGTTCTCCAATCTACTCCAACGCTTTCACTAAAATTTAATTTAAACTCTTGGCTAAGAAGAATGTTATTATCTTTCTTTGAATGTGAATTATATTGTTCCATTTTAATTTTGCTACAAAAAAAAATACAAATTTCTATAAGTATATATATATATATATATATATATATATATATATATATATATATATATATATATATATATATATATATATATATATATATACACTTTTAAAAATAAATAGCAATTTTAAAAAAAATTTTTAATAACATATTTTATCAATAACAGTTTGCATGGTCAGGTATAGAAAAATTTCACTATATAAACTATTATTTTGGCTACATAAAAATTTTATTATTTTTTGCTATTGTTACATTTTAATAAATTAAGTCATTACCAAGAAATTTTACAAAAGGTTATACAAGGTGTAAAGTAATAAAAAAATAATTAGAAATATAAAAGCAATTATTTTGTTATAGTAATGGCAGAGCTGTGACTAAGCTCCCCACACCACCCAATTGGGAAAGAAAAGGCTCTGAATATATAAGGCCTATTTGCAAATTAAGGGGGTCCTTTTGCAAATGTATGGAGCCTTTATTTTTCTTTTTATTTAGTTATACCTTATGAAACAGTTTTTAGACTTTTAGGCCCTTATGACAGGTTTTTTTTGGAAGGAGGGTCTTGGACTTAGAGAACGTATTCGACGGGTAGGAAGGTCTTAGTTAAGTTAACGTATTCGACAAATAGAGTGCGCATTGTTATTAAATAATAGATAAGAAAAAATAAAAGCGCTTATCTAAATATATTCTACATTCTGTTTCATCTTTAAAAAGTTCATTAGGAAGAATGCCTAAATTTAAAAATCTTTAAGTTAAAGAAAATAATTTTACTAGGAAGTTTGGGAATTATTATAAACAATTTTATAAAAACAGTAGTCATTTAAAATTTTATAATTTAGTACATTTGTTTTTTAAAAATTAATTATAATAATTTCCAACTTCCTGTGAAAATCATTTTCTGTAATTTGATTAAATGCAAGATGACACATCTTAAAAGCAGGAAGTTACATTAACTACAATTTTTTTTTTTAATTTGGTTGTGAAAAAGAATTCGTTGAACTAAGATAACTTTAATTCGGTCATTTGTTATTATAATTTTTAAAAAGTATTTATTTTCATGACTGCATTTAGAAATTGATTCAGATTTTTTTGTTTTGGAAATTTTCTTGATTTGTATCGATAATGATTTAAAATTTTTCTTGCAAACAAAGCATACATTTTTTGAAAATATTATTATAGGCATATGCAGTTTTTATATCAAAATCCCTTTTACTGTACGTAAAATTATTTCAAACAAAAAAAATGCAAAACTTTCAAAAAATAAATTTTCAATGATTTTTTTAGGAATCTTTTGATTTATTTGTGCAGATTATGTGAGTTTATTGCAAAAAACTTTAAAATAAACAACAGGAAAGCAGAGGAACCTACGTATTTTACGTAAAAATGCCTTTTACTATGCGAAAGTTATTATTATATATATTCATTAAAAACACAAAAATATTGACAAGGTTAAAAAAAAAAAGACTTTTCCCAGAGCTTTTTATTTAAAAATTATTTCTTCAATTTGTGTAAAAAAGTTCCTTTGCCTTTTTTTTTTTTCCAGAACTCTACTGCAAACTTTAAAATTTTTTCAATGTCTGGGTAAATATTAAATTATATAAACTTAACGTCAGACCACGGTATAACTCTTGGTTATCGGAAATAAAAAGTTTCGAAATTAAACGGTTATTAAGTTAAAAATTTATTCCTAAGGAGGCAAATAAACAAGTTAATTTTATTTCGATTGATGCAGTTTGAAATTTCCTAGTCTTTAAATTGAGAATTTGATAATTCTTTTTTCATAATGGACTTTTTTTTTTTTTTCTAAAGAAAATTTTAGATATAAAGGACTTTTTTAAAAAAAATCACGATTGTGCCCCTCAACTTCGAAACCCGTGTTATATTGTATTACTTGTTATATATTTGAGTTATTCGTAAAGTAAAATAAATTGAGTTATTCGTAAATTACTAGAATTTCAGAGTTTATTAGATCTGGTAACAATTTTATTTCTAGTGAGCTGCTTACAAACAGAGCAGCAAACTAAACAAAGAACAAAAGAATACATACCAAAACAAGTATTCTAACACAGATCTTGCAAGCAATCTAATTCAATTTGTTTTTTCTCAATGAAAAAATGCAAGTGTTTAGTTTCAACAGCCAGTTATAATTGGAGAGAAAACGATATATTATCGAACAAAAATCTTTCGGAGAAAGTAGAAAATGTTGAATGGGGAAGAACTAAAGTAAAAGTAAAAGAAGAACTTAAATTAAAGTAAGATAAATTTTAGGACCTCAACACATGTTCTCATACTTCTATATATTAAATACATATCAAGCACATAGAATTTGTACAGTATTTTTCCTAAAAAAATTCTAACTATGGAGCTCTGATGGTTATAGAGTCAAAAAAATAAAACAGGTGAAAGGTTTGACATGCAGTTGGGATAAAATTGAGAGAATAAAATTTATAAAAGATCAAAATAAAAAGCTTAGTGATGAAGAAGGTTATCAGAAAAAAATTAAAAAAGTACAGGGGTACTTGTTATTTAATTAAATCTGCTGAAAGTTTTGTCGATTTTTGTCATTAAATTTAATGTAAACCTGTAATTATAACAAGATATTTAAATGTTAACTTGGGTTTAAAATTTACTTCAAACCTAAAAACGAATAAAATCTATTCGCTTTCTAAATGCTATCTTTCTATCTCAACTTTATCTGACTTTCACTCTTTTTTCTCGAATCACTTACTCTTAGTCTGCTAAGGTTATGATGTTCTCTAGTGAGCTGAACTCGTCTTTTGGGACCTTGGTAATGTGACCTCTGTATAGCTACTAGCCGGAGAAGGGTAAACCACAATACCTAAAACCAAGTAAAACTTGACAAAAACACAATGACAACTAACAGTTTTTACGTTTTAGGTGACCAACCTAATTTTATTGATAAAAAACTCATAAAAATTAGGGGACCCTCCGCGACCTTTTTTTTCTTAACATTTTTTAAAATTTTCAGAAATTACCGAAAAAAGGTTCTACGCAACCTTTTTTTTTCCATTGAATTACTTTGGTTGTTTAGGGGTTATAATGAGGAAAAAAAAATTGTTATAATTTTTGTTTTTTTGAAATCACGAAACCTTAGACACGAACAATTTATATATCTCTAAAAAACTACTTTTATTCTTGAATATTCTTCTGGAATTGTTCGAAGATAACGCATGACAATGACGATAGCGTTCAGATAGTTTAGAATAAGATAATTATTGTATTATATTTTCTCTTTACTACCCAGTAAATCAATGTTGATAAAACGTTTATTTAAAGTCGGAAAATGGTTATAGTTTCTACGTTGATTCAACGTTTCATTTTATACGTTAACCCAATGTTGTATTTTAAGTTGGCACAACGTTGTATTTACGTTGATTCAACGTTGAACTTTAATTAGCAAAACGCATTTTCATTAAATTTTGGTTTCTTTATATATATGTATATATATATATATATATATATATATATATATATATATATATATATATATATATATATATATATATATATATATATATATATATTTATATATATATTTATATATATATATATATATATATATATATATATATATATATATATATATATATATATATATAAATATATATCTCATACCACTCTCAATTTTGATTTTGATAAGTTTATATTTGTCCCATGTTTCATCTGCATCCATTTCATCATTGACAGCTCTATGATAAGATATACCAGAAGGTAAAAATAGTATTTTTCTATACATCTTCTATTTCCTCATAATTTTCGATCCATACAGCTCTTGCCCAAATCATGATGGTTGAAAACAAAATCATAATGGAAAAATGAATTATATTGTTACAATTATAAACAAAAACCTAATACAAAACATTCTTACTATAACTTGGAGTAATAAAAAAAAGTTGCTATAACAAACTTTAATTTAAACAATTTATAAAGGAATGAAAAGTTATTAAAAAAAGTTTGTGTAGGCAATAAAATAAAAACAATATTTAAAAAAAATATTATCTTTAACAATTTTTAATTTTAACGTTTCACATTATCATTTTTTATTATTTTTATTTACTGATTTTAATTTAAAGAGTATTTGAAAAATATTTCAATAATTGCATTAAAATAGATTTTTTTTTTTAATAGTTACAATTATCTCAATAAAAAATGCTGTTCTTATTAAAAAATATAACATGTAATTAACAAGCAAACAAAAAAAGAGGAAAAATCAGAAAAAATAAGAGTTGAAAATAAGAGTTTATAAATATATATATATATAAATATATATATATATATATATATATATATATATATATATATATATATATATATATATATATATATATATATATATATATATATATATATATATATATATATATATATATATATATATATATATATATATATATATAATATATTATAATGCATTATATATGTAATATATTATATATATAATACATTATGTGTATAATATATTATTTATTATATATATATTTATTATATAATATATATTAGTATTAGTATTAGTATTAGTTTATGCTGTGACTGGTATTGATACCAGTGAGTGTGGTTTTAAGCACACTAAGACAGCTGAATCCCGTGATGGTTTGACTCCCATCAATCAAGTTTTGCTTTGAATGAATTCGTTGAAGTAGCCCTGACAATATTTTCCGGCAGTGCATTCCAATAATTTGCAGCTCGATTAAGCAAAATATTTTCTCTATACTTATGTACTGAAAATTCTTTAGAATATTTCAGGCTATGGCCACGAGTACAATTTTATTTAAATGAATAAATTTCTTTAAATTCAACTTTATCATAACCTTTGAAAATTCTATATAGTTGTGTAATGTCTCCTTGTTGTCTTCTTTTAATAAGTGAGGGTATTTTAAGATAAGCAAGTCGATCTTTATAGCATAATTTACTGATTTGAGGTATTAGTTTAGTGGCACGATGCTGTACGTTTTCTAAAATGATTATATCTTGTTTTTGATAAGGAGCCCATACTGGTATAGCAAACTCAAGTAGCCTTCGAACAAATGAAAGATATAGGGATTTAAGCAGTTCAGCATCAAATTGAACAAAAGATTTTTTTATTATGCCCAACATGCGATTAGCTTTGCTTGCACTCGATAATACTTGATTTTTCCACTTCAAATTATCTGAAAAAATCACTCCTAGGTCCCTTTCTGAATCTGATGTATTGAGTTTACAACCATTTATATAAATTGGATATCTCTTATTTTTATAGCCATAGTGCATAACTAGACACTTTTCAATATTAAAACTAAGCAGCCAGTTTTGTGTCCAAGCTTATGCAGAGTTTAAATCGCACTGTAGTTTATTATGTAACTCATCAGAAGAACTAATTGACATGATTTTTGTGTCATCAGCATAAAATTTTGAAATATTTTTCAGAGACTCTGGAAGATCATTTATATAGAGTATAAAAAGTTGTGGACCCAATACTGAGCCTTGGGGAACTCCGCTGTGCACCTCAGCCCAAGTTGAAACATAATCTCCTATAACGACTCTCTGCCTTCTATTAGATAAGAAAGCTCGAAACCAATCAAGTGCCAAGCCACTAACACCATATGCTTTAAGTTTTGAGATAAGCCTTTGATGGGGAACGCTATTAAACGCTTTTTTAAAATCAAGTAAAACTACATCAACAGGAATTCCTTGATCAACATTTCTTGTAATATAATCTAAAGTTTCAAGTAAATTTGTCGTACATGACCTGTTTTTAACAAACCCATGCTGTTGATTAGCTATAATATTATTCTCATAAAGATATTTTTCTAACTTTCTTTTTATTATACCTTGAAGTATTTTAAAAGTAATACAAGGTAGTGATATAGGTCTATAATTTCCAGAATCAGTCTTGTCATCTTTTTTATATGGTGCAGTTAAATTTGCTGAATTAAATTGATAAGGTAGTTGACTTTTTTCTATTGATTCCATAAAAATTATTGTGAGAGGAAGAGCGAAGGCAATAGCTCAGTTTTTCAATATAGATGAATGTAACTTGTCAACTCTATACGCTTTGTTTTGATCAAGATTATTTAGCCTTTCAAGGACATCATCATAATGGATATCTTCAGAAGATAGATTAAAGGTGTTATCATTGATTCTATTTTTAAATAATGGAGTGCACTTATTATTATATATTATATATATAATAATTGTTTATTATGTATATAATATATATATATATATATATATATATATATATATATATATATATATATATATATATATATATATATATATATATATATATATATATATATATATATATATATATATATATATATATATATATATATATATATATAATTAACATGGTGCAAATTATTAAATAATAAATGTAAAGTATAAGCAAACAAAAAATTTTATTTAAAAAGGTTTCAATCAAATAATTATGATTCATTATTGTACTATTTCATGCAACAAAGGAAAGCACGCAAGACCTTCTTTCCAAGATAGAGCAACAACCTTTCGGCAGAGATTTTCAACTCCTAACACAACCACTTTTACTTTTATTTCATTAATTTTTGGTACCAAGAAAATTTTAGAGGTTTTAGACACAATTGGTTGTGTATATAAATCACTTTGTAAATCAATTTTAAATACTCTACCTTTAAAAAATCCAGATGGTAATTTCTCATCAATAAAACAAAATTGATTTTCTTCTAGATAAAAGCATGAATTTTTCAGCTTCACTGAAATATTTAGTTTTTGAGATTTTGTATTAAATAAATATTGTAAATTTTGATACTGTTTTGTAATTTGAACAAAAGGACTCTTTGAATTTTTCACTGCTTTCTTCAATGTCTGCATATAATTTTCAAAGGGAAAACAAGATATTGTATTTAGTGAACAATCAAATCTAAAAACGTCATCACAAATATGAAGTAAATAGTGAACATTATAAACACAGAATGATTTTGTATATAAATGTTTCAAATTAGTAACAAAATAATTTATTAGTTTCTTAGCAAATTCAAGATAATGATTTCTAACTTGATTTTCTTCATTTAAGAGAATCACCATCGCAACATGCAATGTTAGAAAGTGGTTATAAATTTCTTTGCTAACAACACCCTTTAAAACTAATGGACCAGTGTATAAAATAAATTGCCTGAACTCCGTTGCTTTCCAACGATCTAACTCAAAAAGAGACCGTGGTTGTAGAGCAAATTCAGATGGCATCATACTATGTAAGCTTAATAGATTAGCAGATATTTTTTTTATTTGAGTATTTGAAAGTCTACAATGTTTAGGACCTGACTTTAAAAAGGTAAGTATGCGCCTTACTACTTCAAGACAAACCATGTGCATATAGTCTAAAATAAAATCAGAAACACAAGATATTTGAAGTTGAGCTAAAGGGTTAAGAGATTTCTGATGTATAATGTACAAAAAGGTATTAAACTCCTCAGTTGATCTTGGAGTTGATAGATTGTCATCAATAAAAACCGCTCTATGATCCTCATATAATCCTTGAATTTGGTACCGTTTACAAGAGTAATATCTTGTATGACCTTGTATTCATTTAAGAAAACAACAAGAAGGTGCATCACATATGAATGCTTTAAGTTTAACATTAATTTTTTTATTATTGTAGTATAAACCTTCATTAGATAAAAATAAAAATTCTTTGATAAAATCATAGAGAAAATCATCTAAGCAGTTTGGTTTACCATTTCCACAGAAAAGTGCAATTATAAAAATATAGTTCTCTATTAAACCAAGTATTGGCCATAGTTGAAGATTAGAAGATTTAAAAAGAGGTAGTCCATCAACATTAATGGTAAAATATGCATAAGTTCCGCCACACTTCATATCTACTGTTAAAACTTTAGAGGATTTTAAAAGGGATCTTCCATCTTTTGGCAACTATAAATGACCATGCCTTCTAAGAATATTTAAAAGTTCCTTTAAATTACTTTGAGAAATGTTACTTTTTGACGACCACTTTGCCAAACCTTGTGATAATGTTTCTGTTTTCAATAGTGTTGGTGCATTAGAACATTCAAAATTCTCATAATTATAACTCAAAGATAAATTTGTTAGTCCACTTTCTTCTTGAATATTAGCAGGGGCTTCACAAGGTGTTTCATGCTCATAAGAAGCATTAAGTTCACGATTCATATTCGATAACTTCATCTTGCGTCATTATAAAATCCAACATACTTTTATTTAGGCGACGACGCTTCATTCGATTTTCAGTTTCCATAAATAATATTAAAAAATATATATAAGTTGAAGGTTATATATAAGAAATTAAACGTAAGTCAAAGAAAACTTTTAAACTTTATATAAAAACTTATTAAGTTTTTATGAGACACGAAATATTATCACGCCAATGCAGTCTTACTGAAGACGTTTTTAAGACGTTTTAAAGAGGGCTATTTAAAATATTATACCGAAAGTATAATATTTTAAATAGCCCTCTTTAAAACGTCTTAACTAAAGACGTCATACGAAACCAAGCAAATTTTCTTTATTTTCTTGTCTTTTTAAAGATGTCTTTAAGATATATAAGAGGATTTAGATAATATATAAGTATATAATATATATATATAAGTATATAATATATAAATAGTATATAAGAGGATTTAGATAAGTGCCAAAAAAAGGATCTAAAAAACTAAATATTAAACGTCTGAAGACGTCTTTCTAAGACAAGACCATTTAAAGACCTAAGTAAGACGGTCTTAAAGACGTCATAAAATTCACGGGTATAACACTTTTTAACTGTTGTAAATGTTCATACTTTGATTTTGAGGTTGGCAATCTTTCATTAAAGAGTTTTGGTGGAATCACTGGTTGAACTCGTTTTTGGTCTTGGTGGTAATTGTTTAAATTGCTCATCGTAACATAGTTTGAAATCTATTGTACCATTAACCATAAATTTTGCTCGAGTACCTCTTCTAGGACGGATTGTATCATAAATGAGGTAGCTTTTAATACTATAATCTTTAAAAAATATATGGTCTACCATTGTTATCGCATATGGAGATGGATTGCATCTAGCTTCTTTGGTAACTAAAGAGTATTGACTAGGTAAAAATATTTCATGGTATTTTAATTTTTCTTTTATTACCGAATGAACTGAATTTACCTCCATTTGAGTTTGCATTGCCAATTGTTCGAAACAATGGCATTTCTATTTTGTAATGTACATCCATCAGTAAAAATTATGACATCTTTTGGGGATTCACCAATTATTTTATTTAAATAACTAACAAAAAATGATGCGTAAGTTGATGCCTTTAAATCAGTTGTTGTTTCATCAAACCAATAACACTTAACTTTATTAGTGCCAAGATTGTATGGTTTAAAATTATGAACAATCAGTTTTGTTTTAAAATACAATGCACTGACTGTCAAGTATTGACATAATTTCACTGCTTGTAAAAATCAGTGATAACGTAAATTGTTCCATTTTTCGCAGCAATTTTGTTTATAGCTACTTTGTCTTTTTCCTGTGAAAACTCAAATGGAGGTAAATTCAGTTCATTCGGTAATAAAAGAAAAATTAAAATACCATGAAATATTTTTACCTAGTCAATACTCTTTAGTTACCAAAGAAGCTAGATGCAATCCATCTCCATATGAGATAACAATGGTAGACCATACATTTTTTAAAGATTATAGTATTAAAAGCTACCTCATTTATGATACAATCCGTCCTAGAAGAGGTACTCGAGCAAAATTTGTGGTTAATGGTACAATAGATTTCAAACTATGTTACGATGAGCAATTTAAACAATCTTTCCGTGATACATGTTGTTGATGCTCTTGTTATGTAATATTTCCTGATTTATATGAACAACATAGATCACGTGCATCTTTCTTTGGTTGAAACAAAGCTATTTTTTCATCTTTCAAAATCTTTCTAAAACCTGTGTATTCATGATCTAGCATTCTCCAATTCTTATTCCTATATCTTTTTGAAGACATTTCTGCTTTTTGTTTCCTTTCTCCAGATTTAACTGCTACTTTAGATTCCAAATTTCTTTCATAAAAAAAATCGTTATTACTGTCTATTGATTGAATGAACGCTATCTGTTCAACATTTTTTTATTTCAGAGATTGGATTGTTATTTAGATCAGCAACAGAATTATCTACTGAAAAGTCAAAAGTTAGTTATTCATTTGGTGAACTATTGCTTTCAGTACGTACAAACTCTGCAAGAAAATATGGTAAATTATCAGTCATTTTCTTTAAAGCTTTCAATGTCATAACTTGA